AGTGAATCCCCACCTACCGACCCTATTTTTTCAGTACCGTAATAGGAAACATAACATTAATTTTCCTAGGCCTAACAAATATCGTTGAAACTATGGTTGAGTCCATAGCTCGCGCATTAATTTTCGTCCGATTTAAAAAAAAAAAGAGAAAATTTCGTTGCCCTCCGACGGTTGGTCAAAAAGTGGGCAAACATATCGCGGATATCTACCGGTTGATGTCATCCTTAAAATTTACTTCCCGGGGCCTAACCTTAAACTTGACAAATCCCTCCGCAAGTTGAACATCTAGAGAGCAGCAAATTAAGAGATCAAGTTGTCCTTCCTTCCGACGGTAAGAGATAGCGCTCCGCGACGCTGATGAATCTATCGTTTCATTGCAGCTTGCGCTTACAAATCGTGCCTTGTCCCCTCGTCTCTCCCGCCATACATCATTCTGTACATCCACGGCTTCTCTATCAGTCCAAGGTCTAGTCTCTTAGACTCCGTGACTTGGCAATCACAATGAAGTAGGTAATCTCTTGATTTACTCGGCTTATAACCTTATTACTGATAGGAGATAATCCATCTTGGCCTGGATTGGAAAACAACTGAGATTAAGTGACAAAGACGACAGGGAAGATATCATTGTTGTTAATTAAGTTGCTTGGGGTAGATAGACCACTGCTATTAGAACTGTAAAAAAAATTTAATAGCTGCTCTACAACTTTCGAAGTTTTTTTTTTTATTTCTTTATTTTATTTACTTAATAGTTCACTACAAAACAAGACTCATAGGAGCCACTTATATGTTTTGGGTTACTGTACAGCCAGTGAGGACAGATGTTTGTTGACATTAGACTTAAAGAAATTAAGGTTGTACCCATGTGGGAAACAATACAAAAAGTAACGTTTTGATGTAAACTATGTAATGGTGTTATATTTCTATGCTGGATATTCTAACTCTTTAAGTTCACATGCACGAGACGGGCTTCTTCAAATTATTGTTTGTAAGGCATCCAATATAATAATGCAATGTCAGGACGACAAAACTGGATTTCAGCGGAGATTTTGTGCAATATTTAGAGTTGTGAGTTTGAGCCATCGTAGTGAACTCCGCTGTCGCGTACATGTAATCATCTAGTTTCTGAGTTCTTTGACTCCTTCAAATATATGAGTGCATTTGGGGACATGTAAGACCGCAATGATATCCACACCTACAAAATGGCTCTGTTCCAAAATTCAATTACTTCAATGGAGTCACCCTTGCAGAAATTATCCCTACAAGTCCTGGCGGATTTTCTCATGGTCGGCTGGGCAGAGTTGAGACAAAACACTTATCTCTCTTAGATAACGACAAGACGAGAAGACTTGCTCTAAAATATATCTGACTCCTTGACTTTTAAATCCTCGCGAAATTCAACAATTTATCTCTCTTAGATAACGACAAGACGAGAAGACTTGCTCTAAAATATATCTGACTCCTTGACTTTTAAATCCTCGCGAAATTCAACAATTTATCTCTCTTAGATAACGACAAGACGAGAAGACTTGCTCTAAAATATATCTGACTCCTTGACTTTTAAATCCTCGTGAAATTCAACAATAGCATTGCCAAGAATCTATGAATGCTGCCAAAATACTGTATTCAGGTGTTTAAGAATGATATCCCGTCTATGGTTTGGCAAATGTTATGTCGGAAAAGATATCGCCTGCAACAGGCAAGATTCTGAGGCAACGTTGACAGCAGAAACAGAAAAATCCGGGCTTCGCGCTGGCGTAGTACGTTCTGCCGACCTGCCAGTGGATCATCGGTTGCGGAAAGTTTGTAGCGGTCCCTGTCTCTGTTGAAGGAAGGCCGTATGGGTCTGATGTAATAAAGTTTGTGTGTTGGAAAGTACATTTCAGCCTTGATTCTGCACGATTTCTACCGACACAGATAAATTCTCAAGCAGCTGATTCTTATGCCTATATGTACGTCACTTGAATATTGCAACGCCTTTAAAAGAGCATTTGAAAGCTTTCCGATATTCAGAATGCGTTCAGGCGAAATATGTTCAACTTACGTAACGTCTGATTTGAACTATATCGAATCCTGATATCAATTTTGAAGCAATTCTGAGAGAAGAGAACCGCTTCATTCCCCTCAGTGGGTTTCATCTCTCGGGATCCTCCTTCACAGCCACGAAATTGAATCTAGTCAGCCAAGTAGCGCACAATGGAAATGTCTTTCTCGTGTCTTAGATTTTTGCATATACAGTAGAACAACTTTATTGCACAACAGATGTAACGGGTACAACGTATGGCAAAACATACATATTTGGTGATGCTAGCAATATCTAACAGTTCTAAGTGGTGATAATTTCTAACTGTTCTAAGGAGCTAATCTACTTTCATATATACATGTACTGTAAATTTACAAGAATTTACAAGTTTTCGAAATCATAGCGCCTCTAACTAAATGTGTTTTGTATTACAAGCCCATGTCACACATTCAAGACCTTCTTCAGACCAACAACCAAGAAAAGTCGGTTGAAGGTTGGGGGCCGTCTGGTAAGACGTTGGCGATACCTACCATTATTGACGAATTTAATCGAATTTGAGTCAAATTTAGGTATCTGTATCTGTATCTGTATAGCCGGTATAACCGCCTTTCGGCGTAACACACCAGCTTCGCAGGCACGCGGCGCGGCGGCAGCTGGCTATATTACACCGATCGACTTGTTACACCTAACCCTTGAACTTCTAGCTCTAGACATTGTTTAAAGCTATCTATAGACAATGCCCCTACTGTACTTGGTGACAGTGAGTTCCACTCTGCGATAGTTTTAGGAAAGAATGAATTCTTGAACACCTCAATCCTTGGTTGATAACTCTGGTACTTGAATGCGTGGCTATTTCTTGTTTTCTTCTGGGCTGGTATTAGGTACTTAGTAGTTGGGACATCCACCAGTTTATTAGTCATTTTGTACATCATGCATAGTCTAGACATCTTTCTTCTGTCTTCCAGTGAGGTCCACTGTAGGTTTCTTTTCATTTCCGTGACACTAGCACCTCTTACATAGTTGTTCATACAGAATCTTGCAGCTTGATTCTGTACCCTTTCCAATTTGTCTTTGTCTTTCTTTGTATATGGATCCCATACAGTCGCAGCGTATTCTAAGTTCGGTCTTACAAGTGACGTGTATGCAAGTGATTTTACTCTAGTTGGACATGCCCATGGACTTGTCCATGGGCATGTTGGACATGACAGGTCTATTGTTTCAACCGCAAACGCTTTGTTATCCCCTGCCACGAACAAGAAATCCCTGGGAAAATATACAGGGATTTACGGTATTTAGACTCGAGGGAGACACGCAATTAAAGTTGACAGCTGAATACGTCGATGTTCGACTATTTTGTTACAGTCTGTTGGCATTTTGCTTGTGTGACATTTTTTTCTGATTCTCGATTCTCTGATACGACACAGGCATAGGGTATAATTTGGGCTCCCATATTACAGTAATTTACTTTACGTGTTTGCATTTCTTGCAAGTCTTGCGAGGTGGCGCTCGTACACCGTATATCAAGTGACGCGTCTCCGAATGTGTGACAGGGAGGAGTTCGTCTTGGCGTTCAGTCAACTAATGATTATGATCACAGTTATGAATACAAAATTGCCCTTTAAAAACAATTCAAAGTTGTCAGAAGAGTCTGCATGCCTTTTTTCTCGTACCGTTAATCATAGCCGGACGTTTTAATTCTACGTCAAGCGTTGTCGAGAAATCCTGCATGAAGCCGGTTACTTTAGTTCAATGTCATGCTTTTCTTATCCTGGATTCATCATTATAATAAAGGGGGGCCTTGAATAGCTTGCTACGCATCACGGCAAAAGAGGCATGCAGACCTTCGGTAATATCTGTCCAATCTGCACAGGAAATGGTGAAAATACCGCCCAACACTTGAACAGATGTCCAACCCTCGGGAGACGCAGTCACCAGGGCCAGCGTGTGATTGTTGCCTTGACTGGGCCTTGACTGGCGCCGGGACAATTTCCTGGTACATACGGTCTCATTCACGGGTCGTCTTCTTGGATAGCCTCTACCAGGCTTCGGGAGGCGGCTGATAAGAAAGAGTGGAAATCGGCCAAATAGAGAGCCAGATAACATGCCAGGGGAGTTGGTCCGCTAGAGAGCACAGTTTGCCGCACCCTGGCATGTTATCTCTCTATTTGGCCGATTTCTACTCTTTCCAGCCTCCTCCCGAAGCCTGGTAGAGGCTACTCTTGGATTAAACAGCCTAGCGGGCGTTCCAGCAGGATTCGGGAAGGCAAGCGGCTGGAAAGAGAAGAAATTAGTTAAACGCAATTTTTTACTCTTTAGCGGAACAACTCCACTGGCATGTTATCTGTCTATTTGGATAATTTCTACTTTTTCCAGTCCCTTCCCGAAGCCTGCTAGAGGCTAGCGCTCTACGATAATCTCCAAACAGATATGAGGTCGGGCTTACACGCCACTTACATTTCTAGTGGTTTTCATTTGCGTCCTCATACGAAGCTTAAATTTAAAGTTAAGATACTCAAAAAAGGGACACAGAATGTCGCAAAATACCCGTAAAACAAACCCGCTATTTGAGATTGTTTTAGGGAATTTATGGATGGCGTGTGGGATTCATTAGGACACCGTAAGGGGCATGGACACAATAAATGAATAAACGAGTTTGTAGGCTCAGTGTTATTATGTTATTATGGCTTGTGTCGGAAACATTAAACAAAACAACAAAACTTATATCATTGTCCGAGTTACTCAAGTTGCAAACTTCACGAGCTTTACATTTCAGATCCTCAGTATTCAAGGCGAGAAGAAATTTTCCGACCACGATGCGCGATAAAAATTGCATTGAACGAAAAATAAAAGCCTTGTGGTGACGAGAACCAGTTGTTTCATTTCAATCGGACCCAAAAGAATGTCATAGAACGATGATAGGCAAGGCCGCCTTGCGATAAGGACTGATAAGAACACAGTAGTACACTGGACACAGCTGCTTTGTTACAGGCAGCGAGGGCAGCCCCAAACCCTTCTTCGGATTTCTTCCTTTCCGTGCTATACGAGCTCTAAATCAACTCGGAGCAGCCCGTAAGATAGAGAGAGTTTGAGCCAGATACTCCGGAAAATGAAGCCCCCATCGTCTGTTGGAGTCATCTCTGCGTTCCTGACTGTGTGTGCTGTGAGCCTGTTTCTAACGACGACGTGCGTGTATGGCGAGGTACGTAACATGTAGTAGATTTATACACGACTGTTTACTGTACACAGAGAGTTATGTAACAGATAAGGACTGCTGTAGATTTGTCTTGAACACATGAACCACCCATTAAACCTATGTTTAAACAGGGTACGTTGTAACAAACATGCCCTGGCGGTGCGTTACTGTGTATCAGTTGAGAGATCTTGACAGAAAGCGTTGTTTATTTTATGAAATATTATGCGCAAAAAAATCCTGGTGATTTTTAGTTTCATACGTATTTTTTACGATAGGCTGATTAAGTAGTTAGCTTTGATATCTATCTCATTCTCTGGTTGTTCATAGATGTAGTAGCATTCAGCGTCCTGTTGTTTGTTGTCCTCAACTCGTATAAAAGGAATGTAAACAAGCTACGCATAAAACTCGCTTAGGACACCACACTGTGACTTTCCTGATAGCCTGGATACCAGACGTGGCTGCGTGTACCGTCCGCTTAGCCTCTACCAGGCTTCGTGGGATACCTATCTATTTAACCAATTTCTACTCTTTCCAGTCGCTTTCCGAAACCTGGTAGAGGCTACCATTTTGTAACGGGCTCTTGAAATTTGTGTATTTCGAGTTAGCGAGTGCACCGGGGGGCCCGTTACAAACAGGAAGGCACCCAGGCTATGCCAGACTGTTTCCAGGGCCTACACAGACCAGCTCTTCGGCTGCAGGGCCAAAATGTCTCCCGAAAGGTTTATGTCAAGGGATGGGATCGTTTTCGTACAAAGAGCCTTGCGGAACACTGCGTTTTGCATCGCTGGCATGACTTTTATTTACCAGAAGTTCCCCAGACGGTTTTCCTAAGGGTCTGAAAAGATAGGAATCTTTCTTTCCCTCGGGAATAGCGTGGAATCCAATCAGGAAAACACAGATCCTCCTCGGAAATTTGAAATTTGTACTCAAAATTTCTGAGTACAAATTTGGCTGAAATGCTTAGGATTTTTGTAATCCGTCTAAGATCTTCATCAAAGGTTAATGCACTGTGTATTTGTTTTACCACGCCCCTCCCACACAAAGGAATCCCCGTTTATTTTGAGTGATGGCCCCCACAGAGACCAGTCAAAATTTGTAAAAAAATATCAAAGTGTTTCTCTACAAATCAAAGAGGTAGGATGTTATGGGATTTTAGCCGAAACGTAAAACTCACTCAAAATAAATCGTTTAGGTAGAAATTAAAGCCTTATTACTCATATTGCGTTCTATCTGTGTGCGTCATGGTACAATATTTCCACCGTAATCTGAGGTCATCGTGACAAAATTCAGACTTTTTTCTAGTCGTTCGTAGTGTGTCGATCGCACAAAAGAACTGGGGGATGTTACTAGTTGCTGTTTAATTGAGTCTGTGTGGTCGTTAAAGCAATTATCGTGATCCACCAATCGTTATATGGTAGCCTGGCAGTCAATCAGGCTTGAGAACTGCTACACTCACTTACTATTTAAATTACTGAGTGGCGGCCGCGACATTCTCTCCAAGCAAAGGTTTGGGCTTCGGCTTCTTTTTTACGTGTTTTTAGGCGTTTTTGTACATCTGTTTTTTTTGTTTTTTTTTTTTTTGTGGCAATATGATACAGCCCTGCCAATTAGATACTATCTTGCCAATTTGATATCCTGGGTGCAAGACTGTTTCCAGGGCCTACACAGGCCAGTTCCTCGGCTCTAGAACCAACATGTCCCCAAGGAAATCATCGCACACCGGGGCATTCCCCTACTGTTTTTAGAAATGTGTGTGGTACTGATTTTCACCTGAGTCAAGTGACGAAAGTTGTGCAAAGTGCCTATCCCAAGGGCACAACGTCAGGGCATGTTTTGATTTAAACCCAGGACCCATGTGTTCCAGGCCACTCAACACCCGATGCAACCATTACGGCCAGGCCATGCAGGCCGTAATACGGTACGGTAGCCCATATGGAGATCAATGTGCTTTCATGATAGCCTCTACCAGGCTTTGGAAGCGGCTGGAAAGAGGAGAAACTCGCCAAATAGAACATGTCATGGGAGCTGGTTCGCTAGCTATAGGTGACAAATGTGTTCCCTTGGCGAAGCCATTTCCCTGGCATGTTATCTGTCTATTTGCATTTTGGCCAATTTCTAGTCTTCAGCCACATTTGAAGCCTGGTAGAGGCTACTATCTAGGTGTCAGTGTGTGCTGCCGTAGTGTAAGATCAAGAACATTTGTTCCTACTTAACTTAATACTCGTGGCCTCCAGGACCACTTATTTTAGAAGGTTAATGTCAAAGATTACAAAAACATCCTGTTGGAAATTAATAGGTGTCAAGTCGGCGGTTACGAAGAAAAATAACTTCATAACATGACGGTTGTAGTTTTTTTTGTAGACAACATTTTTCGGGGATTAAAATATGTCAACGTATCAATTATGAACACACAAAAGGTCATGAAGGGAAGCTATATTTTCATGTAAACGCCAACTTGACACCTATTAATTACATAGTAGCCACAAGATGTTTTTGTAATCTTTGACATTAACCTTGTACCATAAATGGACCTGGAGGCCACGTCTTTCAATTAAGTAAGAACAAATGCGTTCCATCTTACCAAAGTCGTATTCAAGTTAACGAATTCCATGTGGGGATAACTTTCAGTAGGTTTATATCAATGATTTCCGTCATTGCAGACGGTTAAAGGGCGCCGCCTAGAGGCTCAGGACTGTTCTGCAGAAGCGGGGCGCGTTCGGAACATGCGCAGACTGAGGAGAGGGACAGAAACAGAGGTAAGCCTGGATAGACATAATCTAATAATCTCCAAGCAGATCCTAGGGTGGCATAAGTAATCCATTGGCCAGAGAGGGTCCAACACACCACCTTGGGACCCTCTCAGGCAAATTGATACAGCCTGGCCAATTTCATACTGCTTATGTCACCCTGAGATCTGCTTGGAAATTTATAATCTAAATCTACGAAAAAAGTTATTTGGTAGGCATAGATCATAGGTCATTGAATTTTCATGCAGGAAAAATAGTAAAGCGGTCAGATGACATAAAGATAAGAATCCATGTTGGCTAATAATAGACTTTTTAGCTAATTATTGCATGGACAAATGCAGAAACAAAATAGCCAATTATTATTTTCAACAGAAGCATGTTGGGGTTCATTAGTATCCTGAATGCTAATCTTTTTTTTTTTTCAAATGAATAAGATTTATGGGCGCGGCCTTACCAAACGAAATTCTTCTAAAATAAATTATGATTTTTTACATACTATATTTACTAACTTATGAATATTATATAATACCCTTTCAAACACATTCTCTTCTTCTTAAACAAAGCTGTCCAGGACTCGTTCCCAGATCAGTCGGCTCATCAGTCGACTCAAAATGGCGGAGACCAAAATGTCGGCGCTGCGCCACAGAATGAGCCGAGCCGAACAGAGCTACATCTCCTGCGCTTCTGAGGTAAGGTACAGCCGATACTAGTACTTTATCTTAATGGTGGCTAATGGACACTCCTCTGGCCAATGGACACTGCCTTGCCACCATATGATCTGCTAGGAGATTACTTTATCTTACTACAGAGCTATTATTCATTACTTTCGGGACATTAGTATTGTTTTGAGTGCTGGTTTACACGGAGAGAGTTTGTATGTATTATGCCCTCATCAGCATAATTTGATTGGAAATGAGTTGGCGGAGTGTAGGTTTCAGTTGATTGACAGGGTTGTGAGCTGTTATCCCCTAGGTGTTATGATGTTGTATGAGGTCGCCAGGAATGTGTAACTGTTTAATGTGGTATAAAAAAGAAATCGTATAGTGTAGTACATGAAAGAGTTACACCATACAATCTTTGTGAGTATATTATAAACCCATATGCTTTTATTCAATCAGGTATCATATACAGTTCCAATGCCAATGCATTCACAGAAATCTAAAACTCTTTCCAGAAATCTTCAATATCCAATATGTCGTTTAGACAACATGTTTGGGTTCCAGAGTTAGAAGGGTGGCATAGTAGTCGCTGAGTTAGATCATGAAGGCATACTAGTATGGAAGTGAGTGGACGGTTTTCAGTTGATTTTCAGTTTTGTGGTCCAGTATGTCATAGTCTCATACGTTTTGTTCGCCAGGAATTTATGAAACTGTGAAATCATGGTATGAGATATATCATGGTGTAATAACATGCAATTATGGTATGAGATAGAAACTATGGTTTATAACAGAGTTACGTTAGGCCAATTTGTGTATTTTATGAATAAACAAATTAAATTCTCAAAGCAACAAACAAGACACTCCATTCTAAAATGTAATTCATTATAATAATACAAACCATATCTCCTGTGCACAAGGTTGAAATCTCTGATTTCTTGATTTCTCTTTCCACAGATGATGGGTGTCGGCAAGAAGCGACAACCTCCTCCTGACAAACCGCTGAACGATGGAGTCTATCACGAGGTTTTTGACGACGGAGTTGTGTTACCCTGGTATCACCGTTAGGTCAACGTTTTGATGCGGTCTGATTTTGATACATTTTATGATACATTATTTGTAAACATTATGCAAAGCAAATGCATAATGTTTACCTTCACATATGGTCTGCTCTTAGACTGTTAATTCCCACTCAAACACAAATCCCTGCCTACCTGCTATAAAATTGCAACATGATGTAACCCAACACCAGTTACCATGGTCACAGCAGTCTGGTTCAGGTCATTGACTTTGTTGTTTCAAGAAGAGGAAACAGCAAAAACAATATGTTTTCCTTCGATAAACATAATAATGAGATCAACATTGTGATCAATACAATGTGTGTGTGAATTCCAACGTTTAGTTGACAAAAGACTTCAACATCATACATACGAATTTATCCTTTGTTGCTTAGTTTTCCCTTCTTAATATATTCTCATTTTAACTCTTATATTAACCTTAACCTTCCCATGCTTATTATCAATACAATGAAGGCAGCTCTCAATTGTAATATGTACATGTATACATTACTATAGATTACGCTTAGTTTAATTTTGTTATTGTTCAGGGCTCTTACTACAACCTAATATCATTAATTACTTAACGCCTTTCTTTTAAGGTAATAATCTGTCAGATTGAAATTATTTGAATAAGTATATTTCAAAATTAGACGATTGTTGTAAGCTGCAAAATCAACCTTTGAATTAATTTAAATTATGTGAAGTAAAATGCAACTAAGAGCCAAGATGTGCCAGCATATGTAAGATACATGTAAGTTAGAAACAAAAAGTTCCGTTTGCATGCATAAAAGTTACTTGGTGTGGCCTAATTAGAGACATTTCGAGTGCCGAGCAAAATATGTTGTTACTTTTTCTTAATCCTCAGAAAATATATGTGAATAAAAGTGTTTTATACCTGATATTGTGGTAGCCTGGCCTGGCGACACACGTGCTTTTCCGTAAACCCTGTTGTTCCTTTTTCTTAATCCTCAGAAAATGTATGTGACTTGATGAAATAAAGATCTTGTTGATATACAGGCTTCGATGTACTATATACTGTATATGTGTACCAAAATACATCAATCCCTAGCTCTCCCGTGGGTGTAATGTTGTGTCAAACAAAGCGTCTAGTAGAAAAGTATTGCGGCCACAACTGCAATACTTAATACATGGAACTGATGGTAAGTTCAGCACCAAGGAGAGGTCCTCATTGGTAATGTACATTAACAAATGGGGGTGTGTCTACAAGTTTGGGGGTAAAAACACTTGCTGTGACAGAAGGTATCGTGATCGTTGGGCTTGGCACAGAAAACAAGTCCAAAATTGAGCGACGAGAATATTTACTTTTGATTGGTGGCGGAATGGTGATGGTTAATTATTAAGAGCAATAATGATTAATCTCGTTCACACTCCTATGCAATTATCACACATGGTACGGTCCGTTCGACCAGCTGCAGGCAGCAAGCTAGTGTGACCAAGCTTTCGTGCGGCGTGTTGTGCGTGAATTCTCTCCAACTTTTGGGGTAAATTTCGCCTTTTTGCCCGCAAATTATCCGTCTAAAGTGTATAGTATATCGTCTGGACGTTTCCAGGTCGGATGTGTGCCGTTCTTTGGATGTTTGCGGGAGAAAACTGGCGCTTGCGGGCGGAGTTTGTAGACTGGAAATATGGCGACTACCATGGCGGCGTGGCGTGGTGCTGAAAAAGACTCGTTCATTTTGGGAGGTAAGGCAACAAATTAGCTCCTTGAATGTACATGTTTGTACTTCTAACAAACCTGTAGCAACAGACCACGTTATAAGTCGTTATAAGTTGTTTTAAACGTTATATTCCGTAGAAATTTGCGTTTTGTGGAACGATATGTCGCACACAAATTTGTGGGCCATTTTGTACTTGAATATTTTTAATAGGGAGGTTGTTTTCATGACTATCGTGGTTTTGAGGAACACTGAATATATTTCTTCCGTGTTGAGTGATAATTTCGCTGCTAAAACTGTTCCAAACACTTTTTTTTTGTTGGAAATTTCCACAGCTTGGCCCAGTGAACACCTTTTGGAATATACCGTAAGTGTGCATAATTAAACCCACTCAACGTTCCCGCCAAAAAAGTAGCGTAAACAAGACTTCCCAAAGCTAGAATTAACTTGGTGTATATATGATGCACTTCTGAGCACCCAAAATTAAATCTGTGCACAAGTGAAAATACATGTAGTTTAATTTCGGTTTTGTTGCTGCATGGTTTATTGTTGCTTTTGAATCAGAGATATCAGGTTGTCACATAAGGCCACACCAATTTATTTTCTTGGTTAACGGATTTTTGTAGAAAAAAAATGGAGCGGGCGGGCGAAAAAAAAATAAAAATAAAAATTTGATACTACCTGCCATACAGCCATGTGGTGTGAAATCCAGACTACTTATTAAGTTACGAAAATACTGGGAAAGAAACAAAAGACAAGAGAGGATGTACTGTATTGTGTTTTATTTGCTGCCCACACCATTGGGTTGATAATCTTTTTCGTACACGAGCAAAATGCAGAAAACAAGTTTTAGCATGTTACTTCGAAGTTCCACCATCATCATATGTACTCTAAAACATGACACGAATGTTAACTCTCACAAGCAATTTCATAGTCACAACAACTTTAAAAGGGACAAAATTTATTCAATTTTACATGTACTTTACCTAGATTCTGCCTGGATCCAAAGTTCCAGCTTTCTCAAACAATTTAAGCTTCCGCCACAAATTTTGTCCGCCATGCAGAACAAAACAAATGACTGAGCCAACATGGTTCCAGAACATCGCATCTGATTGGTCAGAAAGTAAAACAATCCACGATTGGCTACTTTACGTCATGTGACTATATGTGCAGGAGCACCTCTAGCGACATTGGTATGAACTGCAGCAATTTCATTGGGGTCTCCCTGTTCAGGGTATTACCGGCCTGTGGGGTCTAAACTATGACGTTTTTTATTTTTATTTTCATTCGGCAAATAAAGCAAGCGGCGAATCCGTTAACCAAGGAAATAAATTGGTGTGGCCTAATGATATTTTACTGGATATTATATTTCATTGCCAACTGACCTGGCCGAGGGGTCTAGACCTTTTAGCCCAGTGGTTTGACCGTCAGGATTTGAAGCTGGTGCTCGGGAGGTCGTGGGTTCAAACCCCGGCCCGGGACCAGGTGTTTTTATCTGTTTCTACTCGCTCCTCCTGTTTCTTACACCAAATTAGATGTGTTGTTGATATATAATTGTAGGAAGCTGTCACTGTAGTTGCACTGATTTGATTTTAAAGCTGATCTGTATCAGTATAGCCGGTATAACCGCCCTTCGGCGTAACACACCAGCTTCACAGGCACGTGGCGTGGCGACAGCTAGCTACATCACACCGAACGACTTGTTACACTCAATCTTTGCACATTTAATCGCAGGAGTTGTTTAAAGCTTTCTAGTGATGATGCCCCAGCTGTGCTTGGTGGAAACGAGTTCCAGGCTACAATAGTTCGGGAGTTTTTGAAACTCTGATATTTGAAGGCATGACTGTTTCTTGTTGTTTCTTGTCTGGTATCAGATACTTAGTGGTTGGTACACCCACCAGTTTATTAGTCATTTTGTACATCTTTGTCTACATATTTGTCTTCCAGCGACCCCCACTATAGGTTTCTTTTCATTTCTGTTACACTAGCACCCCTTTGATAATGTTCGTGCAGAATCTTGCAGCTTGGTTCTGTAGTAATCTGTACCCTTTCCAGTTTATTTTTCTTTGTGCAACTGTGCAATCTTGGTCCTCATTGTATCATTTATAATAGTATGTGTTAGTACTTACCTTTCTATTGTTTAATTGTACGCAACTGTGACCGCCATTTATGTGGCTTACTAGCATGTATTTGCTAGAATAGAAACAACAAATTAAATTGGTGTGGCCTTACTATACGATCTATGTGCGTTTTAATGGCCCTAGACAAACATTCCACCACGAGGCAAAACACATTGATTATGAAGCCAAAATTTTTGAAGGAAAATAGTGCCGGTTGCATTGGGTGTATTGCTCATTTCTAAAGTTTGCAGTGTTGTTTTCAATTTATCAACATTATGCTTAACATAGATACTGTGGGTGGTTCTTTTTGAGTCAAAAATTAATGCATAAATTTAGTTGTTGGTTAACGAGACACTGTAAATGGACCAAACAAACCGCTGCTAGATTGGAGCTTTTAGAATCTTGAAAAATTGCCTTTTGTACATATTTTATAATAGTTATGGGCATTACAGGTAAGTAGTACTAGATAGTGAATGTTTTGGCAACATATTTTCCTGTGACAATTGAATTTCTGTTGAGTAAAATTGGGGTTTTGATGTTGGGACTAAAGTTGAATGTGGTTTATATAAAGTTGAATGTTGTGTGACATAATTTCTTGCTAAGCCAATTGCTGTTTTCTATACACTGACTTTTGTTTCTTCCGTTTTCAAGATGTGGACCCGAAGCCTGGTCTGAGCGGAAGGAAGAACCAAACTTTTATGGACAGAGCTGTGTGAAAGAAGATGGGGAGGTGTGAGTATGGTTTCTTTATTAACACAAGACAACACTCCACATGCCTTCAGGTGCACACACTTACACTCATTTCTCTCTTTTGCCCAGTTCAGTCTGTATGCCTTTTTTCCGTGAAGAGCCCTTTGACTTTTTAACTTTAACTGGCAACTTTAATCCCACGTTAGGCATCACTGAAAAATTCTTCGTATCGTGTCGTTGAAATTGCCCAAAAATCTTTTTTAAACCTTTTTTTTACACTTCTTTGGACAATTGTGGTTGATTGAAAGTATTTTGCCAAAAAAATCTGTTGATCAATTTTCCACTCACTTGCACTCACATTTCTCTCTTTTGCCCAGTTCACTCTACTCTGAGGGTCGGCGTGCCTTTTGTCCATGTGGTCCGGACCTGAAGCCTGGTTTGAGCGGAAGGAAGAACCACACTTTTGTGGACAGAGCTGTGTGAAAGAAGATGGGGAGGTGTCTACATTTGATGGCGGCGGCAGCAGAAGCCAGGTGATTATTGGTGTTCCTATACCGCCTCCATGCACCAAACATGATAATTGTAAACCTGCAATTCTCTTTAGTGTCACTGACAAAAGGTAGTAGTTTGACAGTTTCAGGTAGCACCAAA